GTTTTCGAGTTTGCGAGTCCGAAATTTAAACGTGGGAACTTGACAATTAGGCAAAGAATGTTTAGTCTACCAATGGGTGACTTGTTTAAATAACATCCTGTATTCGTATTACTTGGGGTTTTCCCGCTTGGCTTTCGTTCTGGGATTCTGCTGACAAGTTTATTCTTATCTAGGGGCTGAGTTCATAAAGGGTAATATGGGCTATGCTGATTTACAATTGTGAGGTATAGGGTAGTGTTGAGTATGCTTGTTGTGTGTGTAAATAAGTAGGCATGTGCTTAAGTCTAAGGGACTTATGGATATGTCACTATATATTCTCGTGCCAACTACATTTCTTTTTTACATGTAACATGTTTTTATAAAAGTGTATTAGGCAGAAAATCTTTTTTAATTTTAGCCTCTGCCAGGCATTATAATTTTACTATTCGTAATATGTGCACCGTTGCCCAGTGGCAAAATCGATACTCTCCGCAACAAAATCATTATCAATTACTGTAGCTTCTATATTTTCGAACTTTATTACACATGACACTTGCCAACTATATATTATTCAAAAAATGTATATGTATATATGTAGGAGAGGGGTGATACGTAGCATTGAGTTAAATAGGAGTACAAGAAATAGGATTTTCTTTTTAGGCAAAGCCTTGTTCAATCTACTGTCAATACCGTCGAAGCACGACGTTTTCTTATAATGTAGCTTTTGAATATGAACGCAAACTTCTTCTGGGCTTACATGCTGAATCGGTAATCGGAAAAGGAGCATTTAGGTTGGCCAGTGTTTCTTTCACCTTATCGTGACTCGCCATGTCAAATGGCTGAAAGCGTTTCTCTAACTCGACCACAATACCTAAAGGGATCCCTAAGTTGGACCTGTACCATGTATTGTCACTTTTCTGTATAGGGATTTTGCGAAGAGGCTGTCTTTTAATATTATGATAAATGGGATGTGATCAAAGTGGATAATAGTTTGACGCAATGGCTATTTCATCAAAGTCGATTTTGACTTTGACTTCCACATTAAACATTTTGATTTTGCAGACTATAGAGCTGGTAACATTGAAGACTTAACTCCACCACAGTTCCGATCGGCTAGATGAGTTGCTGGATGGATATCTTACCCATGTAGCAAGTAGTAAGACCCAGAGCTAACGACTCAGCTTTTATAGCTGGCTATATGGTTTCAGCCACAGTTGAAACATTTCACTGGATGAACACCCTTTAAGCAGGCCTCCAAACCGTGTTTTGGCAATGATTTTTAATGTGTCCAAATGCTGGGTTGCAGTGGAATTGAATGATATCATCCTTTTTGTAAATAAAGTTCAACTTGAACCCGTTGCCGATAAAGGGTTTCAATATCGTGGACTTCCTCAGCTGACAGTTCCAATTCAACAACAACTTGTAATTAATGTATTGCTCGGATGACATTTCAGGGAATATCTTGATTTTGTCTAACGAGGCCGTTCTTATAAATACTACTGATCAACCACAATTGGGGATGGTTTGTGGGAGGGTATTATCCTAATTGCCTTCCCAACGCAGCTAATGAGGAATTAAGTGCCTCACTCATTTTCTGTTGTTGTCGAACCACAGAGGTGCTGATGTTAAACTCATCATCAGAGTCCGAAGGACCAGCATAATGCACTTCTACGTCAATTTAAAAAAAAAATTAATTTTTGACCGAAATAAAAAAAAAAATTCCTCAACAATGTTGTGTTAAAGCTTATCTGTCAACAGAGCACAGAAAATAAAACACGTCCGCACTGTTCGAGTTTCGGGAATTGAGTCGCCGAGTTTTTCAAATGAAATACATTCTTTTCATTATTTAAGAAATGTTCACAGTTATCGTTCCTGTCAATTTGACGGCCTATGTTATCTGGATATGTTATAATTCTATATATTTTGGTGTTTCTTTAAATAATATTAGTATAGAATGTGTTTAGTGTTGCTGCCGAACCAAGCTAAAGTTTTGATTGATAGTAATTTTTCATCGTTTATACTCTTCGACTCATTTATTAATATTTTAGAATTAAAAATTCCTATTCTTGTTAATAGCAAACTCATTTGTAAATCTTGAAAGATGTTAAAAAATATCTAAAAATGTTTAAAGCATCTTCTTCTTCTCCATATTTTATTTTTTTGTTTGTTTATTTTTTACTTTAGGGATTTTATTCAATTCTTTATTTCCATTATTTTTTCTTTTACTTCGTACTTTATCGTCTATTTTTTTGTATTATCTTCTGTTAATATTCTAGAAAGGTATTTAAAAGCAGGCCCAACGAAGTTTTCCCCGTTTTTATCTTTGTGACAAGACCTATTTTTTTAAGGTAGGAGAACAAGTTTTCGTAAAAAAAAAATCGTAAAAAGGTTCAGAAAAAGCTGACCCCGTTATGCACAGAACAAGAAGTCCAAGCAGATCTGGGAACGTCAGCTTTCATTAAGGGGATGGTGGTTTATAAGGACAACTTCAAGTAGGCTTTCTATTATATTTGTTGCATTCTGACGAATCACCGCCCGGAATGAGCACCAAAAATGAGTTGGCAGAGCCAAAGGGGTAATTTGATCCAGTAGATTGGCATTCCCATGAGGAGAGGGGAAAGGGGAAGGCGACCAGAGCGCCTCCTACCACCCACACCCAAAAGAAAAGGGGAAGTGTGGATGGCATGTGAGATCGGGAGGGGGAGCGGAGCGCTGGCCTTGGAGTCGGTTCTCGACTTATGGGAGAGGAATGAAAAGCAGGAAAGGCCCTATATAGCCCATATTTGCAACCGGACGAACCGCCGTCACCGAAGATCCTAGCTCATAATCGCAGTGGGTTTTTCAGGGAAATTAGTGAGGAAAACCCGATCCGAAGATGGACGTGGAAAACCAGGACAGGAAGAGACTAGGCAACCGGAAGAATGCAAAAGTGAGCCGTTCCGAATGGAACCTAAGAAGATTTATCTGGGTTTTAGAGGGGCAGAACCGCCTTCCAGCGAACCCGGGATAGCCTCATGTGTAGCCGGGGTGGTTTCTTTTTGAACTTGGGAGAGTTTTTTTTGACCCGGATACCCACGCCGATCCCAACCTCGAAGGCAGCTAGACCAAGCCAAGAAAATTAATGCGGCAATATTCATTTAGTATTTAACAAATACATATATTTATAAGCCCACTAATATACATTTACATATTAAGTTATTTATTAGCCCTATTTAACTAGTTATTTATAATACTTGTATTTATTATACAAGAAGGCACTTAACACGAGGCACTTACAATAAAATCTTCACTATCCAGAAAAAACAAAAAAACACAACTAAAAGCAAAATGTAAAACAAATCGCATGGAGTCCAAGAAACAAAAGTAATCTTAAAAATCCAATTTATACTATACAACATATATATGTATCCGCGAGAAGACCGATCTTGTGTGGGGGTATGAGTATTGATTAAAAGCCACCCAACACGTCTCAGCTCCTGATACTCATTTGAGCTCCAGTTGGGCAGGAAACTCTGAAACGAAAGTAAAGGTTAATTTATTCCATTAATATATATATAGTATTTACTCGCGTCGTTTTGGTTAAATTTTTTATTCGGCCCAGGGCGATGAAATACTGAAATTAAAACAAAATTGTTAATTAGTACACTTTGTTTAAAATGGTTAAATGGTTATGTGCTAGAGTCCATTTTTTTGGGGGTGATTCAAATTTTAACCGTCGCCATTACTTTTGCCATATTAAACATATACCCACGATTCTTGATCAAACCGATTTGATATCACTTATGAAACAAGACACTTCAATAGTTCAATAGGACACTAAATATATATTATTTTTAGACGCTTCCAGGGAATGCAATTTTACTGAAAAACAATTATATTTGATAAGTAATATTTTTATGAATAAAGTTAACTTTTTTTGTATGCACAAAGACAAGAGCCCTCAGAGCGGAGTTTGAAGTCGTGAATATTCAGCAGTTTTGCTGATGTATGCACCGATGCTCGGTGGTAAATTCGATACCCTTCGCTAAAGAAATTATTTTATATTATTGTATTGTCTATCAAATTTCTATCGATTTACCAAAACACTTTTTGCCACGCCCACAAACCGCCCAACACTGCCACGCCCACACCTTTGAAAAATGTTTTGACATTTTTCCTATTAGTCTTCTAAATTTCTATCAATTTATCAAAAATCTTTTCGCCCAATCTACAGCCCTAAAACTATTTTTATACAAAATTTTTATATTTTTCTCGCAATTTTTAGAAAAATATGAAATATCTTGTTTGCACTGCCACTAGCTAAGTAACGGGTATCTGATAGTCAGGGAACTCGAATATAGCATTCTATCTTGTTTTTCTTTCTTTTGTTGGTTTGGTTTATTTCTATCGATTTGCAAAAAAAACTTTTTGCCACGCTTGTTTCTTTTTTTTATTTTTTCATTTTTTTTTTTTTTAACTTACCGATATTAAAGAAAATTTTGAGATTTCTTGTTTTTACTTCACCATGCAGTTTGGCTATTTCGTACCATTTTTTCGCTGAACTACGGATTTCTCAAAAGTTGTAGAATTAATTATAGCTGTTACTCGTAGAACAGTTTCAGAAGCGTTCAGGAACTATAACGAATTGATATTAAGCATTCAGATTAAGGATACTTGGACGCAGCGCAAGTTTGTTTTCAAATGTTCACAAATTGAAACCCACTTTTGAAAAATGTTTCACCTTCAAATTTCACGGCCTGACGACCTACAAATACATATGCAAAGGTGAAGGAAGTAAAGCCCGATATTTAACGATCAATATAAACTTTTAAGGAAGAAATTTTGCCTAAGCATCCAATGCGCGACTATGATATGAACATGTAGGATTATCTACATATATAATTAGTATATAGTATAGTATTACAATTTTATATTTATAAGTGGACATATTTATAATTTCGTATGTACATATGTATATTACTGGTAGTCTTTAATATTGATATTAAAACTTTCTTTGTTGTTATTTACATGTAATGTTTTAGATCTTGCCAAATGGAGTCAAGCAGCCCTAATATTAAATCTTTCTCCGATCCGGCCATCACTTCCATTCCTACAACCAAAATATACGGAAATTTAAAACTTACCAATAAGTTCGTCAATAATCTGCAAACAGAAGTAAGTCCTCAAAGTTTATATAATCAAGTTTGACTAACCGAACGATTATATTTTCCAAGTTTTTTAAGTCGGTATGTTAAATAAAGCAAACTTGTATATATATATTAATTTTACGTCTTACCTAGAGTGTACTCCAAACATTTGCGTCAAAAAACATTTGTAAAAGCTCACTTAACGTATCTGACATTTGTCTAACTACCGAAACGAAGATGGCATACACCTCTAGCATGCCTTCTGTTTTAACTGAAGATCCGGTAAGTAATGTAACAAAGCCTTTGATTTTTAAATATAAAAAGTTATGATAGTCTAGGATTGGGAAATTAAACTTTGTCATCTGTTCATATATCTGTTATGGGTATATTAAACTCAACAAATAATATGACGGACAAGGCCAGATTGTCTCGGCTAGGGATATATGTACATATATATTCCTTAAATCGGAAACGCTCCCTTTTACCTGTTACATACGTTTCAACGAATCTGTTATATCTTTTCTCTAGTAGTCATAACACCGTATCGTTTTTTCAAAGTGCATTCGCAACACTGCCTACTTCTTACATTGCTCCATTTTCAGTTTACTGTTGTTGTTGTGGAAAGTATTTTTCGGACCTCTTTTTGGAACTGCATTTTAAACACATGTATATTTTGTTCACGAAAAGTGAAGGGAATGTGGATAGGCGGATGTAAACCTCAACGACGCCGTCCAGTTGCATTTCCCAGCGAAATCGTCAAGTTTTAGGTATATTGTAGACCTACGTAATTACAGCTCATACGTCCGTATGAGCACGTAGAAAACTCGACAACCATAAAAGCTAAAAATGTCAGACCTACGTAATTACAGAAGATGCACTCTAGATTCAAAGACATCCGTCCGTATGAGCACGTAGAAATCTCGACAACCATAAAAGCTGAAAATGTCAGATTATGCATGCAGATTCTATGATGCCTTGGTTGTGCAGGTTTCCCCACGCCGACTCTAACGCACAGAAACTGCCACACTCAAAAAAGTTTTTTTTTGGCAACGCCTAACTGCAACAAACCGTTTCAAACTGTCATATCCACACTTTTGAAAAAAGAGGTATTAGCCTCTATTGGCGGACAGTTATGACATTTGGAAACTGCAGATTTGTGCGATTCTCAGGTAAAAGCTCCAAAATATGTATATTTAAGTCCTAATATCCAAAAAAAAACATGGATAAATATAATTTATATATATATAAAAAAAAAATTATATAATTTAGCATGGCTAAAGAAATCGTTCAAAGCGATCTCTGCGGACTGATGCGTACGCAGTCCATCGGCGGATGCAAATAATCTCGTTACTGTTCCGTTTACTCTATTAAACATCGTATTTGGACAGTTTAAGTCGTACAATGTTCTAGTGGAAAACTCTGCGTTGAGCAAAAATGGAATGGAGTTTTGAAACAAGGAGCTTGACCGTATTATAAGCAAAAAGACAGAAGCTATAGTCTAGTTCCCCTACTATCAGATACCCGTTACTCAGCTGGTTTCACTATATTTGATCACTTTTTTATATATCTTGCAAGTTTCTATAAAGTTGCCAAGAAACTGTTTGTCACGCCCATTCTAACGTCCACGAACAGGACAAAACTCTTACGTCCACACTTTTGAAAACATTTTAAAGTTTTTTTTTTTCATTAATTATTTTTTCCCCAATTTCTACCGATATTCCAAAAAATGTTGAAATTTCTCGTTTGCACTTCCACTAGCTGAGTAATGGGTATCTGATCGTCGGGGAACTCGATACTAACGATACCACTCTGATGGCCTTCGACACAAATACAAATGGGCTCAAACAACTGTAAATAAAAATTTAATTCAGCTAAACACAACTTTTGGTCGTCTATAAAACTCAATTGGGTTGCCATAAGCAAGATAGTAAAATACCCATAGTTGCAATACAGACTGAAGTTAACGCTGAAGCTGAAAAATAAAACCAAAAATTTAGAAATTATTGTACCTGAACGGCTTCTCGACATGTACCTTAATATGAAACCTGAAGAGGTTTACTCTTAGTGATAAAAGTTTTGGTTTAATGAGTGTCAGTCCGTGTGGTAGTATTCAAGGTAAAATATAATGCTGAAGGTTTACATAACATAAGCCACAAATTCGCAAAAATGTCACTTCCCTTGTTGGCGTAAAGCCCAACAGAAATGGAAACAGATAAAATTATTTCGATTCCAATAACAATTAAAAGCCCTATGCCTATTTCGTTGTGTGGCAGTAAAAATATGAAATCTTAAAATGAATATATATACTCTACATATTTACAGTGGTGTTCCGTAAATGGCTTCAGCCTCATAAACCGGACAAACGCTTTAAGCGGTGCTTTCCAAAGCATTCCAAACCCAGAGTAAGCGATGCCACATTGTTAATTCTTATGTATTTTCGCAGCAATTCGCAGCAATCATAAAAGTTATAAAATTACAATTTATTAAAAATACAATTTGGAGACATAATTTATCTCTACGTCACCTCAGCTATGCAATTATCTCTCGTTATCTAAGCCTACCTTTCTCGCTTGGAGACCCCGACGTGATTCGTGTATTAACGAAATCATACTAAAAAATCATATTAAAATCATACAAAGCCGTTTAAAGCTCTTAATCTGATTATATCACTTTTATTGTAGAGTGTGTTGTCGAACAACAATATTTCGCTGCAATATTCAGAAAAGATTAAAGACAGGGATCAATAATAGAAATTCCCTTGTTTGCTCAATATTGCATATACAAGTTAACACCACAAACTTTCATTACTCCCCTCGAGTACTGAGGCCATGAACCCTTGGACATTGTTGACACATAAATTGTGCAACAAAGTATTCTAGAGAATTATGGGCAACAGAAACATTAACATCCGCCGCGACGGGCTCCGCCGAAATTGCATAGTCTGCAGATCAATCCAGTTTAAACCAAATCATCGACTCTGCACGCAGCTGCCATCGACGCTGCCAACGTTCTGCCGACGTCGCTGTCAACCACCCACAGCTAGCTTAGGGCCTTGTTGTAGCGTAAATGAACTTTACGTTTAGTGTTGAACCCAGAATAAAGTGAACATCGAAATCAAACCCCGTTATTAAGTTTTATTTTAACTGGCGTCACTTGTGAGGAGGATCCCGAGTAAAAAGTGAAAAGGACAACATCCGGACCACCAGGAGGAGTAGCCGTACCAGGATAGATATGTATGTTAGTGAATAAGTGAAACGAATTACCTAAAACCAAAGAAACAAGAAAATAAAATGAAATTCAAGTAAATACTAGTTATATAAAATATATTGATAAAATAAATTAAGTAAGCAAAGTGAAGTGCAGTGTTAAAGAAATTGAAAAATTAAAATTGTGAATACTATCAAAATGCGTAAAGCGATAAAATAAAATACCACTGCGCTGCAAATGAATAAAGCAACTAAAGCTGCAGTATAACAAAACCCAATCTTGCGAGTCCTAACCAAAGGTCCTTCCAAGATAGAAGGGTAAGATCAGCCACTGGTCTTCAAGAACTTCTTCAAGAACCAAATTAAATCACAAATAAATTTTAACAAATACATAATTTCTTTGATCACGTTCCGTTAATTTTAAAATTAAAACAAAATTTTCAATTCAAAATTAAAATTCCTTTATTCACAATTGCGATAAAATAAATAAATTTGAACAAACAAACAATTTCTTTGATCACATTCTGCTAATTTTAAATTAAATAAAAAAAAATTTTTAATTAAAATTCTTTGATTTATAATTTCGATTCACATTACTTTATCAAATTTATCATAAATCATTTATAAATTTAAATAAATAAGAATTTAATCACATACTTGTAAGGAGTTTTTGACATATCTTAAGTGACACAATTTAATAAATATTTAAGTCCCAATTTACATATTTTACACATAATTTATCTCTTTTGTTGCTGTAACACATAATTATTCAAAGCACTTAGTCAAATAAATTTAATACCATATCTAAATACCTTTACCCCTTAGGGCTAATCTTAACAACCTAATCAGACCACCAGTACTTAACATAGAGCCTGAATTAGAAGACCCAATATAATCTAACCGACATCACGTACTCCAACAACGTCACAGACAATTCATAAGACTAGAAACACACCAACAGAACAGAAACACAATGGCTCAACCTGAATTAATAGCCGACACCGTTCGTCAGATTCTAGCTGAACAGCTCCCTATTCTTTTACAACAAGCTCAAAATTCTGGCTTCGATTACACCAACGTCGAAAGCCTTTGAATTTCCCCAGAAAACCAACATGATCTATCCGACTTGGACAAAGTCCCAGATATTGTGAAATCTCTGCACGATTTTTCCGATGACCCAGCCGAGTTTGGTTCATGGAAAAAGAGCGATGATAGAATACTGGAAACTTATGCTCACACTATAGCTACAGCAAAGTATTTTGGTATTTTACATACCATTCGAAACAAAATAAAAGGTAACGCAGACATTGCGTTTAATTCCTACAGAGTACAGAGTTTTTAGAGTAATTGACTCCTCACTGCCATACTTCGAGTGCAAGGTGAGGAATGGAGAAATTTTAAAAATATTATTCGAATCAGTTAACGTAATAATACCAAGGTCGGATCATTTTACACACAGTCAGCGAACAGAAATAAACCGTCTACTTAAAAATTACCCAAACCTATTTCCAGAACCGGATGACAAACTGACCTATGTCACTAACGTAAAAGCCGAAATTCGAATGACCACAGACACACCGGTATACTCTAGATTTTATCAGTATCCAATGGCTTTAAAAGCTGAGGTTGACAGACAAATTAAAGAACTTTTAGAAAATAAAATAATTCGTACATCAAGATCACCATACAATTCACAATTCACCTGTGTGGATTGTACCAAAAAAACTTGACGCTTCCAATACCCTTCAATATTCCAACGCACACTTAATGATATTCTCAGAGAACACATAGGGAAAATTTGCTACATTTATATCAACAAAGATGAAGACTCACATTGCAAAAATTTAGAAACAATTTTTAAAACACTTAATGCGGCAAACATTAACTGTCAACTAGACAAGTACGAATTTTTTAAAAGTAAAGTAGAATTTTTAGGATACGTTATATCTGATAAAGGAATAGAGACAAACCCAGCTAAAGTAGAAGCCATAGCCAATTATCCACTTCCCAAAACTCTTAAAGAACTAAGATCCTTCCTCGGACTATCAGGTTATTACAGGAGATTCATACTAGGTTATGCCACAATAGCTAAGCCCTTAACTGATTTACTTAGAGGAGAAGACGGACGCATTTCAAAAGGATTATCCGCAAGAAAATCAATTCATTTAGATGACAAAGCAGTAAAATTATTCGAACAGTTGCGCAGTACACTTGTATCTAACGACGTATATCCCGACTTTAATAAAGAGTTTACACTAACTACAGACGCCTCCGACTATGCAATAGGAGCAGTACTATCACAATGAGACACACCAATTGCATTCATATCTAGAACCTTGTCCAAAACCGAAGAAGAATATGAAACAGCGAAGAAAGAAATACTAGCCATACACTGGGCTGTTAGCTTCTTCAAAGGTTATTTTTACGGAGGTTCGTTCAAAGGTGAAAATTTATACAGACCACTAACCAATCACTCATGACTGCAATTGGAAAGGGGGATAGCGATTCAAAGGTGGAAGTCTTATTTAAACGAATATAACAAAGAATTGCTCTACGAGCCACGGAAAGAAAACGTTGTAGCAGACGCATTGCCAAGGGCACCAAGGCAAGTTGAAGTCAATTCATTAACAGCAACTCAATATAGCGCTCTAAGTTCTGGTCACAATCTAATACCAAGCGTTGAATCTCCAATTAGTGTCTTCAAAAACTAAATTTTCATATTTATAGAAGAGCCACCCGACTATAAATTTACTCTCCCATTTCCCACATTTCATAGACACACAATAACACAGCCGACATATTCTGACGATTTAATACAAATTTTGAAAAAATACTTATATCCCACAATAATTAATGGCATTCACCCAACAGAAGATATAATGGATCTATACAAAGAATTTATCCAGAACATTTTGGATCCATCAAAGTTAGATTCAGTCAAAATCAAGTTAAAGACATAATTAACGAAACGGAACAAGGCGAGCATATCTTAAAAACTTATAACAGGGCACATAGAAATGCCGAGGAAAACAAAACTCAGTTGTCCGAAAAGTGCTATTTTCTCAAAATGAAAACTAGAATAGCAGCCCTAATAAAGCAATGCCAGGTGTGTAAAGAAGGAAAATGTGATAGACATCCAACAAACCCAGAAATAACAGAAACCCCAATCCCTTAATTTCCGGGACATACGATTCACATCGATATTTTCTCCATTGAGAAAAAACTAGTGCTAACAGCAATCAAAACTCGAGCAAGCAAAAATCATAGACTAAGAAGTAATAGAAGACATAAAGAAAACTTTGCACGACATCCTTTTCTATTTTGGAGTACCAAAATACGTTATAATAGATAACGAAAAATCCTTTAATTGCGCTATCATAACCTTTATGATGAAACCCAATTAGGCATAGAAATTTTTAAGGAACCCCCCTACAAAAGATTTGTAAATGGACAAATAGAACGGTTTCACTCAATGCTCGCAGAAATTATGAGATGCTTAAAAGTTAAAGAGGTACAGGCACATTCGAGGAATTATTAGATACAGCCGTCAATGAATACAATTACACAATACACTCCGTAACAAAAAAACGCCCTATAGAAATATTTTTTGACAGAAACATAACCACTGACCCAGCAAAATATGACGAAAGCACACAAAATAACATAGAAAAACTCAAATCAAAACAGACAACAGACTTAAACAATCACAACAAAAGACGCAATCAGATCAAGAATTACGAACCAGGGCAAACCATATTCATAAAACAAAACACAAGACTAGGTTCTAAACTATCCCCACGTTACAAAAAAGAAACAGTAAAAGAAAACAGACATACAACTATTATCACAGAAGCGCAGGCAGAGTTGTTCACGAGAGTAACAAAAATTAATAAAAAATTAGTAAAAAAAAATTAATAAATAAAAACAATACTAATAAAAATAACAATAATAATAGGCGTCCACCGATTTCATTTCTAAATTCATTTCATTTCAGGGAATTTCTGTTTTTAATGTTATTACCATTTGCAATGGCAAACATGGAAATAACCAATTACACCGACGCTCACACCATTTCGGTGCACAAGGGGTTAGGAAAACTGCAAGCATCAGCAGTCAAACTAATACATATAGTGGACTTGGAGCAGATAGAAATATAACTCTATAAAATACAAGAGCATACAATTAACGATCTTAAAACAAGCTACCTATACCACACACTAACACACGAAATAGTTCAAGCACTATCCGCACTAAGCACACTTACCTCCAAATACCGCCAAGCTAGATCAATTAATTGGATTGGTTCAGCTTGGAAATATGTGGCAGGAAACCCAGATCATGATGATTTGATCATGGTCGAGAATAGCCTAAATAATCTCATAACTAACAATAACGATCAAGTAATAATTAACAAACAATTGCAAAGTAAAATCAATAACTTAACAACAATTTCAAATATGCTAACCAACTCAATAAAAAAAGATAATACTTTTAACAATGAAATAGCAACAAGTCTGCAAAATCAGGCCAGACTGATAAAAGAGGAAATAGTAAACATTAAATACGTCATTCAATGGGCAAAAATAAACGTAATAAATACCCTTCTTTTGAATGAATTTGAATTAAACGAAGTACACAGAATTTTTCAAAAAAATAACGTCACCTCTTTATCAGTCGAGGAAATGCTAGAATTTATAGAATAGATTATATTTATAAAATACCAGAACTAGACCCCAATACTTATCAAGATATGTTAATAAAACCTGTTATAAAAAAAAACGCCATTGTAAAACAAATAATAAATGTACGCAAAAATTGTAAAATATCTAACTACTTAACAATATCTAAAAAAGAAAAAACTCTGTTAACTTAAGAAAAAGAAATTGTATTGCCAGGTTAGTTGAGGGAAAGAAAGCGCTCTGTGACTACAGTAACGCAGAACAAATACAAGAAATTATTACTACTTAATAACTTCACCGGCAACGTAACACACTATAATACAATCTACAATTTAAAGGGAACATATCTGGTCCATTTTTGGAATGATACGATTAAAATAAATAACAAGCAATTCGATAATATCGAGAAAACTATACTAAAACCCGGAACACCAATAATTCAAATGTCACCTATCGAAGTGGAAAGTCTAAAAGTATTGTCATTAGAAGCGTTGGTGGCCCTCAACATCAAAAATACAAAACACATAAATCATATAATAACACACTCCACCACCAACCGCATCGCAATCTTTTGCTTATTCGGCACTATAGTACTTCTAGCAATAATCTTCAGAATATTCTTCAAACCGACAGAAAAAATAACTCTTCAAATTCAACAAGAAACCCCCACCTTAAACAATAAAGTAAAAACAAGTAATCTAAAACCAAAACCAATACTACCCGAATTTAACAATATTGCCTATTTCTAATGCCCACTTGAGGACAAACTTTCATTACTTCCCTCGAGTACTGAGGCCATGAACCTTTGGACATTGTTGACACATAAATTGGAGGAGGACACATAAGGAGTTATTTTTGTGCAATAGCCGAATAACGGAAGCGGCCGCAAATTCACTTTGAGCTCATCTACCTGCTTGAACCGAATTTCGAGTCGCTGCCTGTTTGTTTTTGTTGTTGTTGAACAATTTTTCGTAAATGTTTTGTAAAAATTCTGGAAACTATACCGCTGCCGTAAACAGGGTCATATTTCTAAAGCGCAAGGCGGTCAGCGAATTCCTTGTCAAGATCTGCACAAACTTCGATTGACGATTCCGTCCTGCATGTGAGGTTAGAGCTGATCGATGAGCTACAACAAACATTAAGGAAATTCTCAACGACGAAATTGATAGTAATCTCAGTGAAAAATTTTATGATGTTTTCGGAACGCTTAATCCTCAGTTTGGCGGGAGATTTCACTCAACCTTTGCTGAGAGCATTTCTCCGTGCGATTTTGGCCATCAGCAGCGTCCACTCAGTCATAGGACACCGTCGCTGCCCCGTCTTAAGCTATGCTAATTGGCTAGATTTTTATTCTTTGTTTACTACGATCCTAGTCAGCCCCGCTTTAACATTGACATATTAAGCTGAAATCTTAAGCTCGCAGACCCAGAACTTCATCATCGGGATTATTGCAGTCCACAGTTAAAAAATTTATGTTTATTGTACATTACTAACATCACTAACAATTTATTTCCACGGCACCTCAGCTGTGGGATTATCTCTCGTTATCTAAGCTCGCCTCTCTTTCCATCTTTGGCTTAGCGTTCTGAGTTCGCTCTCCACCACTCACTTTCGTGACGTAGACGCTTCATGGGTGCTTTTTGAACACAATAAATCGTGTGGGTGATCTTGCTTTTTTTCTGGACCCATTATTAAAATTTTCAGATCACATGTTGTCCGTAGTGAATGCGTTTCCTAAAAATTGACAACATTTGGATTAAATCGATGATCCTTACATAAATTCTGTAAAGTTTTATTGATTTGCCAACAACTTTTTGCCACGCCCACTAACGCCCAAAAAACCGCACAAAGCTGCAACGCAATTTTGAAACATGTTTTGATATTTTTTTATTAGTCTTGTAAATTTCTATCGATTTTCCAAAAATCGTTTTGCCAAAATTTAAAGTTTTTTAAAATTTTTGTATTTTTTTTTTGCAATTTTTACCGATACTCCAGAAAATGAAGACATTTCTCGCTCGCACTTCCACTAGCTGAGTAACGGGTATCTGATAGTAGGCTATAGCATTCTATCTAGTTTTTTTTCTCTTTTGAAGAGCTTGAATGTTATTGTTCATATGCATCCAGTATGCTTCATACGACTGTTGATACATGATTATGGTAGTAATCTCTCTGCACCTGTATTAGCGCTTTATCGACGAATTTAAATATTCGTCAAGTTTTTTTCTAGGTTTCAAGTGGACGTAGTCATCAGTAAACGGACCTACGAACGAATAAATACCTTACAACTTTATTTTGTGTAATATACATTTATGTTCTTAATACAATATTTAAACAATATTTCTAAAATATTTTTAACATTCAATTTTTCTTACAGAGTCACCATATATCTCCAGCTTGCGAAACACATGAGCTTTTGTCTTGTCGAAAATTTGTTATAATTTCATTTATCACTGGGGAATGTTGCTGTCCGAATAGCCAGAAATACAAAATTAAAGAAAAAGAGAGAGTTTCTTTTTCATTATAATTTGAATATAATAATTTGTGTATATATTTGACGTTGTTTTTATATAGTTTCGTTAACAATGGCGATCTAAGAAGTAAACGAGTCTAATGCAAACTCATAATAATGACATAGTTTTGAAGTATATACTTTGTGATCGGCTGAGCATACGTAGCAAATGTATGGAAAGCACGAAATGTGTTCAACGCGATTGGTTGGTAAACATTTTATAGAATTGCAAAGCTGGAATAGCGAATGTTTTGATACAAAAAAATAAATAAAAAAGCGCTTTAATAATGCTATTGTTGGGTCAAACCCGAATTAAAATAATTTTGTTTAGATGTTTCGTTCGAATGTTTTTAACATAACATCTGTTGTATGATACTGCCAACTCATACTGGCGAATGAGTGGCAGAAGGGAAGATAAAAAAGAGAGAATAGAACACACCGAAGATTACATTGAAGTTAAAAGAAAAGCCAAGAAAAGTTGAAGTGAGGAGAAATAATCAAGAATTGTTATTAAAATTTACCCTATTAAAACGCACCATCCGACTTATCATTTATACTCAAGAAAAAGTATTGGCGACTGTGTCAGTTTTTTAGTTAATTTTTGTAATGGTTGTGGATATGTTCGGCCCCATTTTTACTTTGCTGTAAGTCTCGCACGCGCATTTACGAACTTTGCCCTGCCAAACTCTCGTAACGCATTCTAACGCAACACATCGGATGCACTCTAGGCTTGGCGAACGAACATTTTCCGCTACATCTCGTCGTCTCGCTCGCTCTCACATACCTTGTAAAACAAGGCACTGCCAGATCGAAAATAAATAAATTAAAAAAACATCTGCAAAATGACTTCGCCTTCTTTCGAAAAACCTTACACGTATGAGCAAATCAGTGGAACGTGGTTTGAAATTATCTCTGTTGGAATTATCTTGCCGTTTGTCGATTTTAGAATCGTATTTTAATCTTGCTTTTTTCACTCAGGAAGCCATAGAGCAAATGGACTATTTATCCACGCCAAGGTTTGCGTTCAGGAACAACTTGGCATTCATGAATCCACGGTTAATTTTGGGCACACATCTGCAGTAAAGCTCCCGCGCTTATCATTGCCGGCATTTGACGGCAAATACTGCGAGTAACAAAACTTCATCTTGTTGTTTAGCCAAGTCGTTGGCTACCATCCATGTCTAAAATCGAGAAGTTCAACCAGTTGTTAAACTGTCTTTGAGGATCCGCCCGTGTTGAATTAAGAAATCGCTCAAAGACATTCTGATGGTCGGACCGACCATTCAGCCAGATCTTTATACATTACTCCTTCGTTTTCGGATACATCGCTATGCAATCACTGCTGATGTGGTAAAGATGTTCCGCCATGTCAGCCGAGGATCGCAGATTCCAATACATTCTTTGGAGAACTTTGCCATCGCAACCATTTTTTTGGAGAACTTTGCCATCGCAACCATTGAGCACCTTCGCATTGAATACTGTAACTTATGGCACAGTGGCTGCACCGTATCTAGCCAAACGTAGTTTGTCATATCTAGCCGACAAATTCATAGACAAATTAGAGATTGGGGCTAAAGCCATCAAATTGTCGTTCTATATGGAGCTACATCAAATCAAAAGGGAAGTTACAGTTATGGCCAATTAGAACACGCAAAATGGCATTCAAATTAATGCAAGTTTGTCGATGACTTTTGCAGTTGGACGACGAAAGTAGATTCTCGCCAAGAGTAGATTCAGACCACGTTACCAAGCTCTCGATTTTGTCAATAGCCTCTGCCGTTTGATCCGTTGGGAGTAACACATCATCATGGTGGCAAAAATTGTGATCCAAGAGCTGTGGCTCCTAAAACTACACTGGAACGAGTCAGTACCCCAAGGCATTCATACAGCATGGATGTCCCTGCTTGCGTAGCTTTCGTTGTTGGAGTCTGTAGCAATACCATTATAATGGCTTCAACCAGCGAAACGCACTTTTCAGATACACGGCTTCATTCGAATCCTCGCCTACAGAGAGCCAACCTTGTTCTTATGGTGCGATTCTCAAATTGTTCTACATTGGAATCGACAACACTCGGCCACCTTATCAAACTTTGTCGGCAATCGAATTGCTGAAATTAAAGAAATCACGTCAGATTACCACTGGAGACATGTTTCTACCCACTGCAACCCGGCTGATATCCTGTCCAGAGGCTGCACCATCACCGAGTTGGAACAATCGATATGGTTCAAGGGACCTGAGTTTCTACGCCAAGATCATCAACATTGGCCAAAGGAGAGTCGAGACAACATTGACATTAATATGGAAACTGTGCAACAGGTAAAATCAGAGAAAATCAACCTTTGCCGTACACACGACCACTTATCAACTGCTTGAAGTTCGCATGAACTGGTCTGCATGACCAGTTCGCATCATCGTTGCCTACTAGTTATCGCCTGGATGTACTGGATTAAATTGCTGTCGCCGACGCCAGCTAAACTGCTGCGGGCTCTACATTGCATGGTCTGGAATATTCAAACCGTTCACTTCGCTCATGAGATGTCCTCGGTCTTGAAGGGGCAACCGATTCGCACTAGCCTTAAAATCTTAATCTCTTTCTCCAGGTCTCAGATGGCTTCCAACTGCGTCGGAGGGCGCCTGGAGCTAGCAGACTACACAGATACCGAAAGGCATCCTACCCTGTTCCCAGCTAAGGATCACAGTTCGCTCGCCATCTCCATTCGCTCATGCATACATTGTCGTCGCCCACCAGGGCCTACCGAGCCGTCTTTGTTTACGTTGCCACAATGTCGAAGTGGATCGAATTGCATCACTCAAGCGTTTCATTGCCCGACGCGGACTTCTCTCGGTCATATTTTGTGACAACGCTACAAATTTCGTAGGAGCAACAACAAGCTAGAATCTTTGAAGAATACCTTTTTATTAATTAATCGGATTTTTTAATTAATTAGTAAATCGGATCAATTATTTCGTCATTTATTTATTAAGACAGGTTCTTCTACAAACTGCTGCCGAGGATAAAGCTCTTTTGGTTCAGCTAGCTATTTAAGATCTGTTGGATTATCATATGACTTCCATTCAGAATTTGTTAATTCCCGAATGTTCTTATTCTAATAAATTTGATCTTACTTTGACCACTATTAATCCATGCTAAAGTAATCGTGGAATAACTCCAAGCATATCCTTTTAGTCTTTGGATTAATTCACTAAGCCAATGAGCTGCACACATCTCTAGATTGGGAATAGTCTTTCTATTTTTTATAGGATTAACTTTAGTCTTGCTAGCTATTATACTATATTACTACTGCAGAATATGCTATTTCGGAGGTGTCAGAAAATTCGTGAATCTGTATGACAGCAGAACTGTTTGAATTAATCCATCTTGGGATTCAAATATTTTCTAACAAAAATAAATTTTCTTTTTATTTTTCCCAATAATTATACCCTTTATCTTTAAATCTTTATATTTATTTATTTATTTAATATTAATTTATACCCTTTTTGCATGCTTTATCTTAATTTTCTAGCTCTTATAGTTTCTGAGATCGAGACGGACATGGCCAGATCGACTTGGATATTGATCAGAATTAAGTATATATTTACTTCATATGGTCGGAAACGCTTCCTTCTTTTTTTCAACCAATCTAGTATATGCTTTTCCTCTCCCATAACGGGTATAAAAATTTATAAGGACATGACATTTTGTTAAGTTCATTAGTCATGACGATGAATTTTTCAACAAACCTATATCAAATTAATAAAACCTAAAACTGGAACGAATTTCATAAAAACTTCAGTAATACTTACAAACTTGCCCAAATATGCGTACTTTCATGAAAAAATATTAAAAATACACAAAAAGACAATACATTAAGGTATTAAAATGTCGTATGATTATTTTTATACGAAATGCTATTTCCCGGACGCACAGAAACTTGTTAATAATATTACTAAGAAAAGTGAAGTTTGTAATTAATGCAAGGAAATCACAGAAAAGTATAACTTCTTTTTGAAAAAACTCCGCAAATAAAAAATTTTTGCCATAAATTTATGAAAGTCTTTTACTTTATTGACCACCGTAAATATGTAACATGCATCATGATTCAAAATTGATTTTCATCATTGTAACAAAAAGTCTTCCGTAATAATAAAATAAAATACAGTTTCCTTCGCATGTGATGGATGAGGGTAGTTGGTTACTACCCATATCGAACCATCTTTCAATATACCTTTATCAGTAAATTTTTGGCATAAATAAGTACCTGAAGTAATTATAATGTCAGCATAATATTAAACGCCGATTATATTCTTGAATATATGGTTTTCAAAACAAACAACTACAATTAAATTAAAATATGTAGCGATAAGAAAAAAAAAAATACTTTGCAGCTGTAAAATTACCTCGTTTAAAACTCCGGTTGATATAATTTCCATCTAATTTGTCCTTTGTTATTATAAAATAATACGCTATTTTGTTGCTGGTGATTTCTGTAACGCAGTGTTTATATATGTAGATATATGCTTATAGTTTATTTGTAAACATATGAGTATTTCTGTAATAGCTTAAGTTCTTAGTTCAACCAATGCTTTTAAGAAGTAAGAGACAACATTGGTTGACTGGATAACGGCTTCTGTTACGGCTTTAGATTACGGCTTTCTGTAACTGCTTCTGCTACGGCTTTCTACAACTTCTGTACGGCAACTTTTATTCTCCGCTGACTCTCGACCGACTTCCAACTTCTAGTTATGCCAACAGCTCGATATATCGCCTGCGTGCATCTGTCAATAAGACTTCATTTACTGCCACATATCTCCATAACTTAATGTTATCTATGCTTGTGGAGGTATATTTTGGATCTTCAAACTCGGCACCCTTTTTGACATCAAAGCGGCCACATCGTTTCACTTCGACCACTTCGTATGGGCCAAGAAAAGTATTGTCATGTTCCCAACGGCGACGAACTGCGTTCGCTTAATGGCAACCCTTCCA